GATAAATTTTACCTGTACCTGTAGACATCGAATTGTGAATGGATAATATTATATCTGCAGGACTGCGGGGAAATTTGTTCCACCGTTCACTTTGCTGAATTATCTTATCAGCTACTTCCGATACAACTTTAGACACCGAAGTTTGGTGAACACCAACATCCTCGTTTACTCCTGCCTGAAAGCCCAGGTCACCCACGTATCTTAAAAATATTTTAAATTTGTCTTTATTGCATAAAGCATCACCTCTTCTTTCTCCAGACTCTTCACCCAATAATTGATTTGATAACCACTCCACAATTTCTTTACTAAACGTATAACGTTTTAAAGTCCCGATCACAGGTATTTTTTCTAGCTTTGTAAAATTTTTCCGAACGCAGGTTAAGATTGAAGAACTCTGCCATAGCTCTGCGTTATACCGAGGGAAAATCGGTACTGAAATAACTTGAAGCAGAAAGTTGAGTCTACTGCATAGCAGACTCTAAAACTATGGAGTAGAATCTCCTGCCGAGGAGCACAAACAATTTTTTATTCATACCAAAAGTGAGAATCTACTCATACCAAATTATACATAGGAGTACCTACCTACTCAAGCGAAATGTCTGCTCGTAGTTTTTATTCATACCACGTGGAGTATTTACTTCAAAATTTGGAGTAGAAACTAAATGCTCATTTTTATTCATACCACCCATATCTGGCGATTAAAGTCAATTGGAAATGTTGTTTATTAAACAAACTGCGCAGAGTCTGAGAAAGCGGTTTTTATTGATTCTCGAAAACCGTCTTGAAGATAAACAGAAATCAGAAGGAACAACTTCCATGTGTAATTGTGAATATATCACTTAATTTTAAGAATACTAAAATAATAGGCTCAACTTTCGTTTAGCTGAAAGGTATATAAGAGATGTTGTTACAGTTGTTTTCAGAAAGTCTTCCTTTTATCAGACACACATAAATTTTTCTGCGGAAATGCGTCATTTCCATTTTCCGGACTTTAGAATAGCTGAAATCAGTTACATGGAAAAAATTGTTTGCTTTGCATTTTTAACATTTTTCTGAATATAAAAACACAAAAATTTTCCTGCGGAAATAAGCTGTTTCCTTTTTTCGGAGTAAATTCATCAGGCTTTAGAATAGTTGAAATCAATTGCGTGAAAAATTGATGTTCCTTTGCATTTAAAAAAAAATCCTGAACATGAAAATGTGAAAATTTTATTGCGGAAATACGTTATAACTATATTTATTTGTTTGGTTGTAATAGGGCGATCGAATCACTATGGCGGCTTAGATCAAACAGTGAAATTGGCGCCACAAGGATTCTATTCACCTTTGACGAACCTTTACCCCTTTACTAAACTGTTGGATTTTAACATATTTCTCCCTAACTTCCAAACTTTTGACATTTTGCACTAGCAACTTCTCAAGATAGGGACTCTTTATTCTAAAATACGAATTTTCTAGAAAATTAATACTTTACATCAAATTAAAACCGCTATTCAGAGAAAAAAACAATAAAACGTTGCTTATAAACAAACTATATTATTACTACACCATGTCTAGAATTCATATATCTCTAATGCTCATTATTTTTGGTTACCTATAAATTCAAAACATGTGAGGACTAGTACGCATTATGTGGACGGGTTAGTTTGGGCTAGTTTGCATATTTTTGGTTAGTATCGTTACAGTTCATTTAATACTGGTTATAAGTGTACTGGACTACTGGTTAATAACAAAGCACGTGAAGCGCGCTGTTTATTTCCTAAATTCAATACATGCAAGGACTAGTACGCATTACGTGGACGGGTTGGTTTGGGCTAGTTTGCATATTTTTGGTTAGTTTCATTACAGTTTATTTATTACTGGTTATAAGTGTACTGGACTACTAGATAATAACAAAGCGCGCGAAGCGCGCTGTTTATTTCCTAAATTCGATACACGCAAGGACTAGTACGCATTACGTGGACGGGTTAGTTTGGGCTAGTTTGCATATTTTTGGTTAGTATCATTACAGTTCATTTATTACTGATTATAAGTGTACTGGACTAAGGACTAGTACGCATTACGTGGACGGGTTAGTTTGGGCTAGTTTGCATATTTGTGGTTAGTTTCGTTACAGTTCGTTTATTACTGGTCAAAGTGTACTGGTTAATAACAAAGCGCGCTGATAGCGACCGATAGTAGGGAATTTTCGTAGTTGATTTTCGAAGGGTGGGCCATCTCAATGGGTGGGCCAAATCGTCAATTTTAAATATAATTTTCTGATGAAAAATGTGCATTTTCCGCATCTATTTTCATCAAAGGTCGGGAAGAGGCATTTTTTGAATGGCTTCAAAAATAGAAACTGTGTATTTCCGCGAGAAAATTTTTCCTTTTGTACATTCAGAAAATTGTTTACAATGCAAAGGAATATCAATTTTTCACGTAATTGATTTCAACTATTCTAAAAGACTCATACATTTTTCCGGAAAATGGAAACAGCTCATTTCCGCAGCAAAATTTTTGTGTTTGTATGTTCAGAAACATGTTAAAAATGCAAACAAACAAAAAATTTTCACATAACTGATTTCAGCTATTCTAAAGTCCGGAAAATGGAAATGAAGCATTTCCGCAAAAAAATTTGTGTGTTTTCATTTTTATGGAGGCTTTTTGAAGGCATTTTTCAATTTTTTTCTCTAATAGCTGATTTCTGCTAAACGAAAGTTGACCCAAATAATATTTTGAATAAATCAAATCTTATTGAGCATAGGCAATTGATATTGCGATTATATTAGATGGAATTGAGAATAGTCAAATGTAATTGCGAATCATATCAAAATGTAACTAAGAATAGTTCAGTGTTATTGCGAATATATTATCATATGTAATTGGGGATAATCAAATATAAAATTAGGAATAAATCAAATGTAATTGAGTCTTTTCATTTTTCAATCAACATCTGCATGTAATTGTTCCTACTGATTTCTGTTTATCTTAGTTCAATAATACGTTTTTCGAAAATCAATCAAAACCGCTTTCTCAGACTCTGCGCAGTTTGTTTATTTAAAAAAATCAACATTTTCAATTAACTTTAATCATCAGATATTATCAAAAATATTTGATAATGTCTCAATTGTATTTGATTAATTCGCAACTACATATTCCTAATTTAGGTAGGTACATTTGATATAATCGCAATTACATTCAACTTTTCCCAATTACATTTGATATAGTCGCAATATCACTTGACGATTCGCGAAATTAATTGATGAATTCGCAATATAAATTGCTAAATTCGCAATTACAAATGGAAAAGGTACTTATACAATACAGATGTTGATTAAAAAATGAAAACGCTCAATTTCATTTGATTTATTTCTAATTTTATTTGATTATCCCTAATTAAGTACATATGATATAGGTATTCGCAATTACACTTAACTATTCTCAATTACAATTACATTTGACTATTCTCATAATTACATCTAATCCAATTGACTATTCTCAATTAGATTTGATTTATTCAAAATATTATTTTACTATTCTTGAAATTAATTGATATATTCGCAATTACACATCGAAAAGGTGGCGATTTTAGTGAAAATTGCGTTTTCTATCAAAATAGCCAGTGGGTTGGTTAGTTTTGTAAACTATCTATCTAGTATACAAACTATTCAACTTTGCATATTAACCGTTACATATACAAGAGATATCTGTCCATCCTTGGAACTTTTGCAGGATTATAAGCAAATGGTTTTATTCAAACGAAAGCAGCATCATTTTTACTCCGCATTCTCATTGATTTAGAGATGCCGATAGCTTTAGTTTATTCTATTTGTGAGAACTTTTTTTTTACATTCTTCTAGATCTTTTCAAAGAGAAAGTAAAATTCGCATCAAAATTCGATTAGGCAAAAACAATATTTTGCCAGAGGTCGAAGGTCGAACGACCTCATAAATCCGAAATAACTAAATATTTCCAGTGGGTTGAAATTATTTTATAGTGATGCCTGGATTTTGTTTTATCAAAATGCCTACACGTCGAACTGAAAACTTTTTTATTTTTTAAAGTTATTTTATGAAAGAAGTAAACTTAGTATAAGTTTCAACTTGGAAGGACAATATGGAAAGGCCAATTTTTTATAGCATAGAAGAATGGACAAATAATGTTGAAGATCTACAATATTCAATGAGTATAAACGTCGTTTTTATTTCACCAATTTCATAGTATTCCTATAGATATTTTGATGCCTAGAGGTAAAAGTATCTAATGTAGATAGGTAGATTCCGATTCCAAATAGACAATAGGTATAAGTACTCTCTGATAAAAAAATTTAAAAAAGCAAAAACTGTTTTCATTAGGTAGGTACTTCATGGAAGTATTATTACGATATAATAGTGCACTAATGATCAAAGACGGGAGACCCTAATTTGTCTCTAATTCGCGCACTCGATATAAATGATCATTAAAACATAATCAAGATACAAATCATATCCGTTTGATCAAATGAAAAATTCAAACAAAAATCCAGATTTCATTCCGAGTAATTCTTTATCCAAAAATTAATCACACACAAAATTACCTCCGCTGCAAATGACGAAAAGGATAAATCCAAAATAAGCACGTATCAGAAATTAAATCACTCTCCTCTTCGAAACTTTACATTTGCCATCTTCATTTAAAACTTTATAGAAAACGAAAACTTCAAAACTCTTTTGGCTACATTTCCCCATCAAGAACCAGAGACATTCCCAGCTATAGGCTACAACACGTCGAATCGTTAGTTCGGTTAACGGACGCGAGTGGCGTCAGTGGGATCGTGTTTCACTCGAAAGTGGGCGTCTATCGTAAGGCATAATCGGGGTTTTGATAACCGGTCCACCAATGGATGGTCTATTTCGAACCCCGGTCGCTATGGCAACGGAAGACACGCAAACCTGGTTGGTCGAAAGGTTTCTATGGCGACCAACCCTCCCCCTCAACTGAACCCCGTGTTTGACTACCTAAAGCTCTTGGTACTTCACATCGGCTTGTAGTATCTAAGTAAACAGGCTGCAAGGAGTATTTGTTTTTCCAATCAGTGCAGGTTTGGAATACCTAAAGTGTTAACTTGTTTGTGAAACCGTTCGTGATGTAAACAATGAAACAAAACCTCCGACGACAAGTTAAGATCGAATTGATTGTTTCGAATCGTAAGTGCGCGTAAAGACTTTCGTAGTTTGTGTGTGAGTGTTTGTTTGTGCAAAATCGCAAAAAAAAAACAGGAATCAAAATGCTTGCTGCTCAAAAATTATATCCGGACGTTAGCAGCATGTCGACATCGGCTAATGCTATGACGCCAATGACTCCTACGTATTCCATGAACTCCATGTCGTGTGTTCCCATGACTTCAATGAATTGTTCGCCACAAGGATCTGTGTTTGGATCTAGTATGTTGTCCTCTGACATGACTAATAATAATATGGCAATGAATGCCAGGATTCATCAAAGACAGCCAGTTTTAAATGATTCTCCACAACTCGGTTATACAGCAATCGGATCTCCAATATCCCATCAAATGGCTTCTTGTATGGGCACATCGATGTCGGGAATTCCTTATAACCAATTAGGGAGTAGAGGTGATTTAACTGGTGGTGATACTTCGCCTAACGGCCGAGTTCGAACTGAAAAACCTTATAGACGTTCGTATACTCACGCAAAACCTCCTTATTCCTATATATCACTGATAACTATGGCTATACAAAACAGCCCACAAAAAATGCTAACTTTATCAGAGATTTATCAATTTATTATGGATTTATTTCCGTTTTACCGACAAAACCAGCAAAGATGGCAAAATTCCATCAGGCATTCCCTATCGTTTAATGACTGCTTTGTGAAAGTGCCGCGCACTCCGGATAAGCCTGGCAAAGGCTCGTTTTGGAGCCTCCATCCAGAATCCGGCAACATGTTCGAAAACGGTTGCTATTTGAGAAGGCAAAAACGATTTAAAGACGACAAAAAAGAACACGTAAGGCAGCAACACAAAAGCCCGTCGCATCATAGCATGGATAACAGTAACAGTTCTGGAAAGAAAACACCGTTGCACAGCAATGAGGATAAATCTCATCAACTAGACAAAAATAATGAAAATAATTTAAGTTCGATGATGAACATGCATCCTAGTAAGTTGGACGTCGATCAAATGAATTTACTCAACGCCAACGACTTGAATATGCATCAGCATCATCAGAACATGTCTCACGAAGAACTATCAGCAATGATCAACCGTAGTAACCATTTAGCGTTAAGTGAACATCAAGCGATGCTTCATCACTCTAATCCCATGAATCATCATTTGAAACAGGAACCCACAGGATACACTCCATCGAATCATCCCTTCTCGATCACCAGGCTGTTGCCAACTGAAAGTAAGTCAGACATTAAAATGTATGCCGATATGGGATACGGTTACAATACTTTGAGTCCCTTACCAAACGCCATTCATTCTCATGCGGCATTAGGCAATGATTATTATAATAGTTCTTCTTTGTATCATACGTCAACAGGGACTACGAGTTTGTGACAGTATCCGTTAGCGTAGAGACAGTTTTATATTTGACCTCGAATAAATTGAAAAATTTAATTTATCAAGGACTAGTTTCATGTATCAACAATTAGTTTGAGATACTGAAAATCAGAGGAATTAATATCCAAACTTTATTTTGTTGATATAAGAATTGATCCAATGTAATATGGACTTGGAAGCAGAGAATAGTTGAGTCAAAATTCTAATTGTCTTCTTATCAAAAATTAATTCATGTACCTAATCATTTGAGCCCTAAATTTCGCTTACCAAACACATAAATTCAGTAAGAAAATATTGAAATTAAAATTTTAAATCAATATAACTGTCAGAAATAATTATTTTCGTCTTCAATAATTGATTTATTTCGGTAACCTACTTACTTTAGTTATGAAGGAACAATTCCAAAAGATTTATTTTCCTGTCTAGTGCAAGAAGTGAATTAGACAGAAAAATTGCTATATCGTGTGACAAGATTTATAAAAATTATAAGCAAGACATTCTTTATTCTGTGATTTCCAAGTCCAGGTCATTTTTTAAGCCACTTTTGAGGCATATGAGGTCAAAATTTTCCCTTATTTAATAGATTACTATTTTTGCCTCAAATGTAGTTCAATTCCGAATAGTTTTTTTATCCGTGTGTTAAATAATACCAATATCTCGAACCATTTATTGCAAATATGATTATGTTAAATACAGATAAAATCTTGACCCCTAAAACTGAAAGTTCTCTATGTTAACTTGGTGAAACAATGGACGTTGTTGTGCAGTGTATATAAGTGTAAGAATTTTTTACCCACAGAAAAGTGTATGTATATAATAAAGGACGAATTGTTTTAGAAGCAACTCTGAGTGATATTGTTAAATATAAAACATAAAATAAAAATATTACTGTTGTGTGGCAAGCTATATCGATTTTTGAAAAATCTCAGAAAGAGTTTCGATCTGACGTATTAATTTTTATAAAACTTTTGTACTACTCTCCTCTGGATCCGAATTATGTGAAAATTTTAAAAATATGTTATGCTCATAATATTCAAGCCTGGTTTGACTAAAGTGGGCCATTATAGTATATTTGGATGAAAAAATTTAATCTAAAAGGATAATTTTCAGGCCAGGCATTAATGTTATTAGAGCTCTTTTTCTCAAATTTCAACAGAAAACTAAACGTAACTTCTCATTTGTTGTTCACTACTTGTTCTGTTTTTTTCTTTTAATCCCTTTATATTTGTTTAAAATGAACGTTTAAATGTATAAATAAATAATTGTACAGTATCTTTGTAAAATTGTAAATTCTTATTATAATAATGTGATGTTCTTTTAATATACTTAACTATTTTTTTAAGTATATTAAACCCCCAATATGATGGATTATGTGCAACATTGACAGGATGTGAACTTGTAAATTGAAAATTTTTTTGATGAAAAAGTACCTATATTATTTATATGTAATTGATATTTTTTTTGTCATAAATAAATGTTTCACATCTTAAAATGCGCTGTGTTATATTTTGATTCCCCACTGCCTTTTCTAATTTACCTGAGAAAATAAAGGCCTGCTTCCAGGTTAAATTACTCGCTCATTTCAATACCTGCCTATTTTATGTTTTACTATTATTTTGGAATCTAATTCTTCTTGTTTTCAAAAATGTATAATGAGTATACCTATAGACAGACAGAATGACATTAAATATGGATGAACAAATTTTTATGCAAACCTTTTTATTTGATAGCTATTTATGTCTACAAATACATCGTACCCTCAATAAACTTTTATTAGGACTGTAAAGCCCTATTATTACCTATATGTAGGAGTGACATTTAGGATGTTATGAATAATCTTTTATGATGAAAAATCTAAAAAGTTTCAAAATAATAATGATAATAAATATTTTATTTGCCTACCAACTATTATAATAAAATATAAATCAAAAAGTACAATTTCATCAAACTTCAATGAAAATTATAAATCCATTTCTGAGCATGACAACTTTCCACTGAATTCAAATTTCGAAAAAAAAAAAACAATTTATGAATTTTGAGTTTCAAGGTATACTATAATCGATCAAAAATATGTATCACACTACACATCTAAATATATTTGACACTTTTGACAGGAATTATAATAATACAGTTATTCTTTCGATCTGTGAACAAACTGATTGTAATCATATCAGGTTTGTTTATGAGGCGTCAAAAAAACAGTTATAGGGCCAATGAAATCGTTGTAAAACCAGATGACAATTGTTTCAAACAAGCCTCAAATGACTTCGATCAGTTTGTTCAGATTGAAAGAACCTGGAATATATGTCATCAAATTGGGAATAAAAATTATTAAATCCTATTTCGAGCCGCCTTTCAATTTTCGGCGGCCTAATCTAAAATTTGAGAGAATTCCCAATTTATGAATTTTGCTAACGTACATTTAATAAGCTTCAATATTGAAGCTTAGCAGAGAATATTCTCTGCTCACGTTCCCTTTCTTGTCTCCTTCGGATGATTTCTGTTGAGCGGTCCCGGTTTTTTTTACTCAGGATTTTCCAATTTATTTGTCAATTTAAGGCTGCGTCGAGTATGTATCTGTTTTTTTTTTCAAAACTTTATTTTCCGTGGATTTGCTGGATCTGTCTGTACCGATTTCCACTGAAATTGTTCTACACCTTTTCCATGTGTAATTGAATTCATCAATTGATTTTGCGAGTAGTCGAGTGATATTGCGACTATATGAAATGTAATTGGAAAAAGTTGTAGTTAATTCCGCTTATATCAGGTCTTCAAAAAAAAAAAAAAACAATCAAAGATTGCTATATGGTTCTTTAAACGTACGTGGCATTATTGTTCCTTTATTGGTCAGATTTTTGACATGACATTTTGACATTAAAGTTCATTGACAAAATTAAAGAAAAATATTGCTAAGACATATAGTAGGAGAGCCGGCAATATTAACGGGTATGTGATCGTTGCAATGGATAATTTTCACATAAAAGAATAGCTCATATAGTTACCTTTAAACTAAATGGTGGCCTCGATTCTCATGGCCGCAACTCTTTGATGGCTGGGCGTAAACTACCCCTCTTTTTCCGAAGGAACAATGTTATCGTTGCAATAGCTAAAAATTGGTAGATATATTCTTTAATATGTCTTCTCAGATAATATATAAGGTGGCCTCGATTTTGATGGCCGGAAATGATGGCAACCCTTATTGAAAGTCGAGCGCACGCGTTATTTTGCTTGCTAAATACAAATTTTTGAAAGTGACAGCTTTCAAAGTCACTTTTAAAGTTAAAAGAAAACTCTGTGAAGAGGATTTTGCATACGGCTGTAGGTCTTTAGACAAACAAAGAAACATGAAATTGTGTTAATAAAGTGTTTGCCCCATATGATGAGAACCCCCTACACCGCAAGGTACTTCTTCTTATTTGTTGCGCTTATGGTTCTTGAAGTATCTTTTCATAAAACAACTTTACGGCCATGAGAATCGAGGCCACCCATCCATTTGGTTTAAAGGTTACTATGAACTATTGTTTTATGTAGAAATTATCCATTGCAACGATCACATATCCGTTAGTATTGCCGGCTCTTGGACTAATACGTTCAAAAAGCCATAGAAATATTTGATTGTTTTTTTTTTGAAGACCTGTTATCAAATGTAGGTAATTGAGAAAAGTTAAGTGTAATTGCGAATATATCATATGCAATTGGGGATGTTTAAATAAAATTAGGAATAGGTATATCGAATGTAGTTGCGAATTATTCAAACGATGATTAAAGTTAATGAATATTCTCAATTCGATCAAAGTCTATTAGATTTTATTTATTGACAATATCTTTTTAATATATTTAAAATTAAGTTAACTGTAATTGAAAATATATCATATGCAATTCGGGATTTTCAAATGAAATTTGAACATACAACATAGGTAGGTACCTACAGATTTTGATTTTTGATTGAAAAATTAAAAGGTACAATTATATCTGATTTATTACTAATTTATTTGATTATCCCCAATTAGATATGATATATTCGGGAATAATACCACGAGAGCTTCAAAATTACCGCTAATTTTTCACGATTACGTGTTTTCTATAATTTCACGAGTCCGTAGGACGACTGAAATTTGCAAAGAAAACACGCATGAGTGAAAAGTTATCTGGTCCATTTTGGGGCTCGAGTGGTATTTAGCGGATTATTTCCCGAATGAAAATGCGAAAAATATGCAAATAAATATTTATTAAACGATTTGAACAACTTTAGGAATCAATACAAATAAATGGTTCCTTACAGCAACCGTTCGTTTGTATCAAAAATTAGCATGACAACCATGAATACAATAACATGGGAGAATTTTCGCTGTAATTCTCTCTAGTTAAACTAATGGGCGAAAGAATTTTCGCTGTAATTTTGAAAATTGTCACTTTTCTTATGGGATTTCTAACACATGAGTGGAATAATCGCTATTAGGTACACATGGAAAATGTTCAGGATGCAGGATGCAGGATGTTCTATGGGACTTCCTAGTAAATATCTGTACCTCAGAGGTAAATTGTATTAAGTCAATATTATAATTTAATATACTAAGCCACTAAGTAATTCTACACCTTTTCCACATGTAATTGCGAATATAGCAATTTATATTGCGAATTCATCAATAGATTTTGCGAAAAGTTAAATGTAATGGTGAATATATCAAATGTAATTGAGAAAAGTCAAGCGTAATTGGGAATATATCGGATGCAATTGGGGATAATCAAATGAAATTTGGAATATATCAAATGTAATTGCGAATTAATCAAACATAATTAAGACCTAATCAAATATTTTGTCTGTCGACTCTTTCTCGTCATCGTTGATCTGAATATAGCACAATTATTGCGAAATTCCATTTTTGTGGTATATGTATGTAAACAAAAGCTTTCTTCAACAACAGACTTAGTTATTTTAGCAACAACATACAGATGTTGATTGAAAAATTAGAAGGCTCAATTAGGTACATCTGATTTATCACTAATTTTATTTGATTATCCCCAATTACATATGATATATTCGCAATTACACTTAACTATTCTCAATTACATCTGATGTGCTCGCAATTATATTTAACTTTTCTCAATTACATTTAATATATTCGCAATATCAAGTGACTATTCTCAATTACATTTGATTTATTCGCAATACTATTTAACTATTCCTAAAATTAAGTGATATATTCGCAATAACACATGGAAAAGGTGTAGTACAATTTACCTTTAGGCCTGGTGAGTCACTTGATACAGGTTCCAACTGGGTATTTTGGTTGTCTTTAAAGCTAGGTGTTTGAAATTTTTTCCGGAGGTCAAGTAAGTTATTAGAAGAAGTATTCAGCTAAAAACCCATTTTCGAAAAAAAAGTGACTTAATACAGTTTACCTTTGAGGTACAGATATAGGTACCACAATTTAATATCTGAAGATCAATGTGAAATGTTTAATGCTCCTCGATGTATAAATTTCTGAAATATAATTGAAAATATAAGCAATTTCTCACGACCATGTCAGAATTCTAGAAAGATTCCATAGCCAAAACTGAAGTTTTCTTCACCGCTTGAAGGGTATTCAAAGAAAACAAGGCCAGGAAAATATTAAATTTGCAGAGAATCCTACTAAAATTAAAATTGTGGATATATTGCACTTTATATTTATTTTCAAACATTTTTATCGAATCTCAATACCTATATCGATTAACATCTTCAGGCTCATGGCTCATGTGGTTGCTGCGTAAATTAATTTTGAAGTTTTAGGCTAAATTTTGTTCAAATATCCATTCAGAAAGAAGGAAACTGTACGTTGACACAAAACTATGACATAATGTTCGATAGAAAAAAACTAAAAAATCAAAAAGGCCCAGGCTCTGACAAAACAACAAAGAAAATATCGGAACTACACCTTTTCCATATTATGTAATTGCGAATATATCACTTAATTTTAGGAATAGTAAAAGAATATAGCAAACAAATCAAATCTAATTGAGAATAGTCATTTGATATTGCGAATATATTAAATGTTATTGGGAAAAGTTGAATGTAATTGCGAACACATCAAATGTAATTGGGAATAGTTAATAATAATAAAATTAGCAATTAATCAGATGTATAATTGAGCCTTTTAATTTTTCAATCAAAATCTGTAGTCTGTTTTTTTTTAAAGATAATTTCCCAAGTCAAAAATTTAGTAACTATGTTGGCAACACAAGCCTTTCCTGCACAAAAAATTTGAAAGCATTGACAATTTTACATTGTATTGCCAAAATAATGTCATTTTGGCTTTTATCTTTAAAAAGAAATAGACTTTAGGTATGTTGTATGTTAAAATTTTATTTGAAAATCCCCAATTGCATATGATGTATTTGCATTTACACTTAACTTTTCTCAATTACATTTGATATAATCGCAATTACATTTGACTCAATTTCAAGAATAGTAAAATGATAATGTGAATAAATAAAATCTAATATACTTTAATCTAATTGAGAATATTCAATTGATA